CAAAACAGAGGCAAGTGGGCTAAAAAAAAAAATCTCCTGACTACCTCATTGTGGCTGCATTCAGCTGAGATGCTCTATCCTGGATGTGAATTTTGTTCCCTCAGGCTCCCAGGATGTTTGCCCAGAGCTCCCGGAACTCTGTGAGCCCCATGCTGCTGCTGGTGCTGCTGGGCTGTGTCCTGTGTCCCCCAGCACAGGCCAGCAAGGTGGGTGACACCGAGCCACGTGTGGGGCACAGCAGAAGTGGGGTGTGAGGGGACAGAGCTGTGTCCCCTCCTTCACATGGCTCCTGTGTCCTGCAGAGCTCTGAGGACATTCGCTGCAAGTGCATCTGCCCCCCGTATCGCAACATCAGCGGGCACATCTACAACAAGAATGTGTCCCAGAAGGACTGGTGAGTGAGTGAGCAGCCTCGGGTCGGTCCGTGACAGGCAGGCTCTGGAGTTCCCAGCTGATGCTGAGAACGGATTCCCTGCCTGTATGTTTGCAGAGGGAACTGCTTTGGTGTTCAACCTAGGCCAGGGGCATTTTCTTAAACACAAATTGAGGAATCTGGAATGATACGTTTACCTACCGCTCTTGGCAGACGTAGTGTGTGCCCTCCAATCCTTTCCACCTGGACTGGATCCCTGCAAAAGCTGCTGAGGGACAATCTATCCCAGGGACTTTGGGCAGCTAGGCTGTGAGGGGAGCTCTTAACACCAGATCAGTCTTATCAGCCTGACCGGAAAACTGGGACACAGACAAAGTCACCCCAGTGTCCTTGCACAGAGCACTGCTTTCAGCTTGTGCTGCTGCTGATTGTGGTTGGTTTGTGCTGCAGCAACTGTCTGCACGTGGTGGAGCCCATGCCAGTGCCCGGGAATGACGTGGAGGCCTATTGCCTGCTCTGCGAGTGCAAGTACGAGGAGCGCAGCACCACCACCATCAAGGTACCTGAGCTCAGGCCCGCGCCCGTGTCCTGCCCCCTGCTGTGCCACACAAGCCCAGGGTGACTGCAGTCACTGGCTGTGCCCTGCCCCTTGCCGTGCCACAGCGCTGGCACTGCCACACCGGTAGGTTCCTGGACAAGAGCCCAGAAAGTTTTCTTTAAGAAAGGAAACCGTCACAGCCAGTACATGGTGGCAGTGCCAGGGGCTCACTCTACAACTCTCTGAAAGAAGGCTGTAGCCAGGTGGGGGTTGGCCTCTTCTCCCAGGCAGCTAGTGACAGGACCAAGAAGACGTGGTCTTAAGCTGCACCAGGGGAGGTTTAGGTTGAACATTAGTAAGAATTTCTTCACAAAAAGGGTGTTGGATACTGGAAGGGGCTGCCCAGGGAGTCACTGTCCCTGGAGGTGTTCAAGGAACAACTGGATGTGGCACTGAGTGCTCTGGGTGGGGTGACAAGGTGGGGATTGGTCACGGGTTGGATTCCATGATCTCAGACATATTCTCCAACCTCACTCAGTGATTCAGGGATTCTGTGATTTCTGTGATTCCGTGTTTGAGGCAGGGGCATTCCTGGTAGTCAGGAGCTGTGTGGGAGCCCAGTCTTCTTGCTGGGGATGTGGACAAGTGTGACAAGGGTGCCAAGCATCTCTGATCAGGGCCCCATCTTGTTGTCCCTTATGTGCAGAACATGCCCTCAGTTGGCGTGAGAGAGTTTTCTTTAAGAAAGGAAACCGTCACAGCGAGTACATGGTGGCAGTGCCAGGGGCTCACTCTACAACTCTCTGAAAGAAGGCTGTAGCCAGGTGGGGGTTGGCCTCTTCTCCCAGGCAGCTAGTGACAGGACCAAGAAGACGTGGTCTTAAGCTGCACCAGGGGAGGTTTAGGTTGAACATTAGTAAGAATTTCACAAAAAGTGTGTTGGATACTGGAAGGGGCTGCCCAGGGAGTCACTGTCCCTGGAGGTGTTCAAGGAACAACTGGATGTGGCACTGAGTGCTCTGGGTGGGGTGACAAGGTGGGGATTGGTCACGGGTTGGATTCCATGATCTCAGACATATTCTCCAACCTCACTCAGTGATTCAGGGATTCTGTGATTTCTGTGATTCCGTGTTTGAGGCAGGGGCATTCCTGGTAGTCAGGAGCTGTGTGGGAGCCCAGTCTTCTTGCTGGGGATGTGGACAAGTGTGACAAGGGTGCCAAGCATCTCTGATCAGGGCCCCATCTTGTTGTCCCTTATGTGCAGAACATGCCCTCAGTTGGCGTGAGAGAGTCAGCACACTTTGTGCTGTGATGGCACAACCTTGGCCTCCTGGCAAGAGCTAGAGACTCTTGTGAGCAAAATGAAAACAAGAGATCAAACATCAGATGCAGCTGCAAAGGACCTTCCTGACCTCTGTGGTGCTTCTTATCTACACTGCTTATTCTTTCCCCCTGCACTATCCTCAACTGCAGGTGATCATCATCATCTACCTGTCCGTGGTGGGGGCCCTGCTGCTCTACATGGCGTTCCTGGTGCTCGTGGACCCCCTGATCCGCAAGCCAGACCCCTATACCCAGCCCCTGCACAATGAGGAGGACAGCGAGGTGAGGGGGCAAGGGGTGCAGACAGGGGGAAAGGAGAATGTGGGACAGGGAAACAGTGACCTGCTTGTCTCCTCTGATCCGCTGAGTGACCAGCACTGCTGCTTTGTGGGTACTTACACAGGTGAACATTTGGATCTCTGCACATCATGCAGAGGCACATGGAATATTCAGAGTTCTGTGTAACGACCCCAAGGCAAGCCTTGCCCTCAGAGGCAGAGGGGACTTTGTAGCAGCTGGCCTGAATTTGGTTTGTCCATCTAGAGGGAAAAAAAAGTCAAACAGTTTGTGCAGTGTCCCAGATGGAGTTTTGTGGTGCTGAGCTTCCAGGGAAGCATGAGCTTAAGTGTCAGCTAAAACATCTTCTAGACACTTAAAACACTGGCCTATGAGGTGCTGTTTGATCCTGCTCTGGGGCTGGGCCTTGGGTTGTATCCAGGCTGCTGTTCCTTGTGCTCCTGTGCTGCGGTTTGCCCAGAGCACAATTTCATTCAAACCCCATCTTTTTGTGCAACGCTGGTGTACAAACCGTGGGCAAAATGATTAAGACCCAGTAGCAAAGAAAGAGCCACTCTCCCTCTTTCTCTCTGTCACACACTAGTTTTGGGGGAGGAAAAATTTCTTGCTACATAAAATTAATGCAGTTGCAGCACTGGGTTAGATTGTCCTATTTGTACTTTGTTGTGAGTATAAACTATTTGGCCCAATTCCTTCATACTCGGATGTGAGGAGCAGCTGCTCCAGTGTCCACAGTCTATCCATTGCCTCGCTCTGCTGAAAAAGGAGGTCCTGCAGGAGGAGATGAATTGTATCCCAAAGTCATGGGTTTGCAGCAGTAATTCAGATCCAGGTGCACATGGTAAATGCCTGGTGCTAAGTGATATTTATCTCACTCCAGTATGCTGGACTAAGTCCTCTGAGATAGGCCTTGTTCCTGTGCCACTATGGATCTCCATCCATTGTCACCTGGTTTTAGTGAGGGGATGTGGTTCACCTTGGCACTGTGGTCCTTGTAGACTCCAAGAGTGGTTTCCAGCAGAGCTCTACACTTCGTGCAGTTCCTCTGCTGGGAACTTTTGTCTGGAGTCGTGGGTGATCCCCAAGAGCAAGGACTTGAGGGCTGATGTTGAGGAGCTCTGAAAAGGAGGTTTTTCATCAGAACGACTCAAACCTTGAACTGCTCTTTCAGGTGCAGTTTCTCCCCAAGTCAGCTGCCTCCCTCTGTGCTTGGGCTGGGCATTGCCTGGTCTCCAGCCCCATTCCTTTCCTTGCAGGACACTCACTCCCTGGCCGCAGTACCCACCCTGGCTGGTGCCAGGGCCAACACAGTGCTGGAGCGGGTGGAGGGGGCACAGCAGCGCTGGAAGCGGCAGGTGCAGGAGCAGAGGAAGACGGTGTTCGACCGGCACAAGATGCTGAGCTAGGCCCTGCTGTGCCCTGCCGCATCAGGACACCCCAGCGTTGGAATGGAACCTCCAGCCCTCCCTGATTCACCATCTCTAGAGGGAGCAGCAGCCCCAAAGGCTTCTCTGGTCGTGTCCCCTGCCCTTTCCCTGCCCAGCCACGCTGGCCCCTGGGCTGCCCTGTGGAGCTCGGCCGAACACGGGACTCCATCAGCCCACCCCAGCAGGGACAGGGGCTGGGAACGGAGTGCTGCAAGCTGGCTCAGTCCTCCTGGGATAAAAATGGTGGGATAATTTTGATGTGGGATAAATTATGTCATGTTTTTCCAGGATACAGCAGCCACCTCCTCCTCCTCCATCAGTGTGCACTGATGGTCCTTGGGCATTGTGGTGCTGAGCCACACAGGAACAGCACAAGAACAAAGGGGAGGGGGTTTCTGCCAGTGCGCACTGCTGCTTCTGCTTATCCTGATGTAAATGGAGAGATTTCCATACCTCTGGAGTCTGTCCAGGTTTACACCAGCATAATTGAGACTGCAGCTTGCTTCTGGGCATGTGATATCACAAAACCTGTTAGTACCTACATCAGTAAGAGTCCAACAGGTAAAAAGCTGATTTACATTTCTATCTTTTTGCGCTTTACCAGTAGATAAAAACTTCCTGGGGTGAAACCTCTTGAGTTGTACCCATACTGGTGACCTTTGGTGTTCTCCCGCAGTGGGCAGCAGCATTTGTGTCCAAGAGAACTGGGGCACAGGCTCTCCTGGAGCACTAGAAACACTTGTCAGGGCCCTGGGAAGTGGACACTTGTGCTACTCAGAACACTCCAAGAGCTCTGACAGGGCTTGGGCTCTGTGGAGGAAGCTGCAGTGGTTCTGCCGTGTGTATTGATCCCACTGAGAACATTTGGAGTTTATGGTCTAGCACCTCCATATTAAATGCAAAGATCTACTACCTGAGTGGGTTTTTTTTAGGGGAAAAACCCCATCTGGTTTTTTGGTCTGGGGCTCTCCTGGGTCTGGGGTCCAGGGCTGGGGCTCTCCATCTGCCTGCCAGTGCCCAGCAGGTGAGCTCATGCCACCTCAAACCAGAGCTGTGGTTACAGCGCTGCAGGAGTGTCCCTGGCACTGTCCCTGTCCTGCTCCAGGAGAGCCAGGCTTGGAACATGGGCAGACCAGAGTCCTGCTTAGCACAGGTTAGTGACTTAATTTCTCTGGGCTATCCCATGGGAATGCTGAGCAGACTAGAATTCTTCCTTTGCAGGAAGCTGAGAAATTGTTGCTAAAAGCCTAAATGGGAGAAGTGCCAGTCACTGCCCTCCATGCTGGGGCCCGCAGCTGCTAGTGGAGCATCCAGCCCTCCAAGCTGACCCTGCCAGACAAACCCAAACAGCAGCTTTTGGGAGCCTGTGTGTACCCCAATTACCCTTCAGCACCTCACTGGGCTAAAAAGGACCCGCAGCTTCTCGTTACACCGAGGTCACATTTTCCTTGGCTTATCTTTGTTCCCTGGAGCTCAATTCTGTGCCTTCCTCACCTTTCTAGAAGCCCCATCTTGACTGTCCTCGCTCCGTGTGAACCCCGCAAAACCACAAAGTGAGGTCCCTGGGAATTGTTTTTTTCCCTTCGAGGGCGGGAACAAGGAGCGCCGGGGGAGGCGGTGCCCGGGGCCGGGCCGATGGGTCCATCTGGTGGCCGTCGCCCCCGATCGGCACCGGGAAACGGCCGGGCACCAGTGGGAGCTTGCTGCGGCCACGAACCTGCTGAACCTGCAGGGTGAAGGGTTTGGTGAGCAGCATCCCCAGACTTTCCCCTGACCCCTCCAGGAGCAGCTAGGAAATGGGATCAGAAAGGGGGGAGTTAGAAATCGAGTTTTGGAAAAGGTTAGAAAACTTAAAGCAGGTAAGGTGTGGAGAGGCTCCAAAAAATACCACTGCCTGATTAATTATTTGGTTTGTTAATTGGCTGATCAGCTTTGTCCTGTACATCATCCTTCCTGGGAGGAAAGGTTTTCTACTGCTCAGCCTTGATTTCCCAAGCCCCTTCCCCTTCCTGTGCCCCCCTCCCTGGCTCATTGGGGCATCCTCCAGCAGGTACATTCTGATGTGCCCTGCTCCTAAACCCATCCACAGCCCACATCAGTGGTTCCCATCTCTCCAGACATGGACCAGTGAGAGCCAATAACTTAATTTCTTATCCAAAACGGCAATGTGAAAAATAAAGGAACCAAATCCAGGGGCTTTGACATCCTGCCACAGGTGTTATGCTTAAGTGCCTGCTGTGGTCCAGATGTCGATGCTCTGGATGATGAGCCACTCGCTCTGGTCCTGCGTCACCCGGATCCTCACGCACTCCACGGGCCCAGGCAGGACCCTCTCCAGGCCCCGCTGCTCCAGGGTTCCCTTCTCGAAGGAGCCCACAGGGATGTAGGAGGAGCAGTCCCGGCTGCGGTCCCGGCGCTGGCCCAGCTCCAGCAGCCCTGCACGCAGGAAATCACCTGGGCGCTCCACGGAGCCCGTGCGCACCCGGACACGGCTGACTCGGGCTGGCTGCTGGAACACGATGGAAAAAGTACTGCCAGCTGCTGGGTCTTTGCCCCAAAAGTACCCCTGTGCTGAACTGTAGGCCTTGAGGGGCTCATAGTTCTCAAAAATGGACATGCTGGTGTACAGGGATGCTGGCGGGTTGTCCGGGAGGTCCAAGGCATCGGCTTGGAAATCCTCGTCCTCCAGCCGGTTGATGGTGCCCTGGAAGGAGGAGTAGAGGCCCATGTGCTGGAAGAGGGATGGCTTGAAGCGGATCACGTCCTTCTGAGTGAGCAGTTGGCGGAAGTGGACCAGCAGCCAGTCACAGGGCATTTCCTGGTAGAAGAGGAGGAGGAATTGAGCCAGGCGAGGAAGGTCACTGGAGCGGTAGAGCTTTCCGATGTAGCCCAGCTTGGAGAATTCGAGGGTGGCCCAGTTGGAGCCCTCCTGGGAAGCCACTGCCCTGCGGATGGCCGTCAGGAAGGACCTGGCGCTCCACACGTCATCCTCAATCATCAGGTAGTAGGAGGAGAGGTTGGCGGCAAAGGCGAGCAGGAAGGCATAGTCCACATTCTGCTTGGAGCGAAACCTCACCCGCTCCTCTGCATCGTTGAAGTTCCTCTTCAGGCCTTCCAGGGTGGGGTAGAATTCAGGGGGAGCATGGATGAGCAGGAGCCGTCCCAGGAGGATGTGGCGAGCAAACTTCTGGGCGATGGTGGCGGCAACACGCACATTCCAGCCAGGATCAGTGTCAGCCAGGTGCACCACCACCACCATCTCCTGCAGTTCCTCCTCTGTAGACTGGCTGAAGAGGGACTGGAGCGTGGCCAGGAGGTAGAAACCACGTGGCCTTTGCACAGATGCCATTCCCACTGCCAGGAATTCTGCAAGGTAAAGGAAAGGCATGAGCAGGCAGAGGGGTGACCTGGGATCACCACATCTTCCTCCCTTCAAGACGTAATGAAAGGGCTCCAAAAACTTCTTCCCATGGCCAGCCTCCAGGGTCAGTGCTGTTTGTAATCCCATGTCTAAGGCCAGTGGCTCCTTCCTGAAGCTGAAGCCTTCAGCATCTCAGGAGGGGCCCAAAATTGGCCCAAATGGCAGCAAGAGGCAGATTGAGGAGGCAGGGGCTTCACTGAAGAAATATTCCTGAAAAACACCTAAAAAAGCCATACCAAGGCAAGTAACAGTGCAGAGAGAGAGTCCATAGGGTAGGAATGGCCTATTGGTATGGGTGCACATCCTGAAAGCATTCCCCATTCCACACCTCATGGAGATGCACCCACACTGGGATCAGGCACCTTGTGTCCTCTCCATGGCTGCCTTGATTCAGCTTTTCTTGCTGATGGTTAGGACAACACCATTCCTGTGCTGGTTCCAGCACAGCCTCACAGGTTGCCCTGAGCTACTTCCCACAGGGTTTGCATGGGAATTGCTTCCTGTGCACCTGTCCAAGAGCTTGGCCCACTCCTCCCACACTCTGGGGTTGTCCCAGTGGTCCAGCTCACCATCTCCACTGGAACCTCAACCCCCAGGGAGATGGGATCTCAGCAACCCCTCAAAGAGAGGTCTGGGAAGACCAAAACACCTGTGATCACCCCAGTCCCAAGCTGCAGAAACCTGGACCCTGCGTGCAGCATGTGGAGCTTCCCCAACCCCTCCATCCCCAGAGCGAGCAGTGAAGGCTGTGGAGGTTGTGAGCAGGTCCCCACCCAAAAAGGCGGGACACAGCCCCTCCCTGCCCCAGCAGCAGTAAGAGGGCAGGTCCGTGCTGGGATGTGCACCTGTGCACACCCAGATGTGCATACCCAGAGGGTCCAGAACCACTCACTTTTTCGGGGAGCTGGGGAGCCAGCGAGGAGCCGGTAGGAGATGTTGTGGAGTGCAGAGAGCTCAGCTGTGTCCCTGAGGATGTGCTGGGCTCCCTCCGGCTGCAGCAGCTGCAGGATCGTGTCCTGCAGGGGATCCAGGCTGAGCTGCACCTGCATGGGAGCCACAGGCAACAGGTCACACCCCAGAGCACCATGCAGCAAGGGGGCATGACAAGAGGGGGACCCAGAAGTGAAGGGGAGCCCCTGTCCTGCCCTCCCTGGATTCAGGGGGGTCCAGCTGCCCAGGGCAACCCTAGGGAGAGGAGAAGGCAGAGTTTGGGGTTGAGGATGACATGGAGCAGGGAAGAGAGCAGAGCTGAGGCTGGGGTTCATGTCGGGCAGGAAGGGATAGAGGATGCTCCACTAGCCTCTCCAGTGGGAAGTCACTGGTTGGGGACTCACCTCCAGGGGATCCTGTTCCTGCCGGCTGCCCCCATGGAGGAGGAGGAGGAGGAAGGAGGCAGCAAGCAGAACCATGAGGGAGCGTTTCAGGGAGCATCGCATGGCCCCTGCTGGCTGAGGCCTGGGGAGAGGGGACATGTCAGGGCACAGCCTGTGAAAAGCCACCACCCCCAGGACAGGACAATGGGACAGCACCCGGATACACCCCTGGGACTGACCTCCTGCCCCAAGCACCCACAGGCACACACCTGTGGGCAGCCATGGGGCATCAGGGGACACTTGTGCACTGTCCCCTTTGGGCAGGCAGGGACAGGGACACCCCAACCTGACCAGGATAAAATCAGCCAGGTACAAAATCTCTCCAAACCAGCCCCAGGACACCTTGGCTGCCCTGGGACACCCCAAGCAGCACCCCGGAGCTGGAAGCAGAAGAAATGCAAGTGGACAGGGCCTCAGAAAAAATTTTTGGGTCATGGAGACACGCCATGACCAGTCACCAACACCCCAGGATTTGTCACCAAGCCCTGGGAAACACTCACATCTCAAATGGGCCCAGGGTGCTCTTCCAGCACTGTGAGGAGGAAGCAGCTCCCCACTTTCCTCCAGGCAGGCACCAGCTTGCCCTGTCCCAGCAAGAAAAGTGTCCCTGAGGGGATAGTGTCACCTTCAAGTAAGTTGCAGTGAACTTGAGACATTGTACTTTGTAGAGTTGTGGCAGGAGGCTAAAAGGCTCCTGTGTTTGCCTGTTTTTTTCCATTATAAATATGACATTGCTGCCCTGGAAGAGAAGCAGCTGAGCCTGCGCAAGTGCCCAGCTTGATGGGGCAGACACCCTGAGCCCCATCCAAACTGTCTACAGTGACTTGGCTTTGTCAAAGCAGCTTTGAATGTAAACGTGGAGGAAAAGCCCTCCTAAGCATTCCCAAACCAAGGCTGGGCTTCCTAGGCCGGTGCCCTAAATACTTTCCCGCCCCAACCACCGCTGTGCAGGGGATGCTCTGAGCCCACCCGCGGGCCCACAGACTGGAGCACAGCACCTCTGGGGCCACTGCCTTGAAGCGTGTGCTGGGCTTATTTTAAGGAGAACCCTCGTTTTTGCACCCAGGAGTCCTCTGGAGGGGTTGCCAGCTCCCCAAGAGGCTGGCGCCGAGCAGGTGGCCCCGATCCGATCCACAGGCACTTCGCCCTTGGAGCACTGACCCCGCCCAGGGACACGGCTCCTCCCTTGGAGATAAACACTCGGAGCCAGAGAGCCGCGCTCCCCGGCAGGGCAGGGCTGACTCGCAGCAGAGACAAGCAGCTCCTGGAGCTGCTCAAAATCTCTCTCAAAATCCCAGGTCCCAGCAGAGAGTGTGGCCTCTCCATCCCTTACAGATCTGGAGACATGGGGGACCTCACCAGCTCAGGGGGAGCAGCATTAGGGATCTGTCCGAGCCACAGGGACATCACACCCTGATGCCACCCTGGACGTGGATTTCCAAGCCTGGACCTCCGGGATCTACAACCAGGGCCACGGGGTGAGCTGGGAAGGGCAAGACCTGGCCACATGCCAGGCTGGGCATTTGGCCACTCTGGATGGCCAAAGGTTTTTCTGGCTGCTGGGGAATGTCTGGCTGCCAGCAGCTCATCCTGCATGGAAAACAAGATGCTGCTGAGCACCCTCAGCTCCCACAGGAGCAGCTTCACCCAAGGAGCAGGCAGCCCATGGGGAACAGGGGTCACCGGCACAGAACAGAAGGTAAGGAGTGCAGCTGCATAATTAACCCCCTAATTGGACTTTGGATTTCTGCCTCTATGGAGGAACAAAGCAGCCCAAGTAAGTGGGCACAACCAGGGGTGCAGCATCCTTCTGCTCCAGCTCTAAGTATCTCCAGAGAGTATCCCTGCCCCACACTCTGCTCCAAGCACCTCATGCACCTTCCCCACACCCCAGCACCCCACTGCAGATGTCCCCAAAAGCCACCCCACTGTGGGGACATTGGCCAGGAGGAGCTGAGAGCCACTTGTGTGGAGCCAAACTCCTCCCCAGCCTCAGTCCAGGACAGGGGGAAGGAACAGTCCATTCCCAGCCTCAGTCCCACGAGGCTCGGAGGAAGCTCCCGGTGTGCAGGCAGCTCCAGCTGCTTCCGCCAGCACTGGGGAGAGCAGGGCTGGTTGCACAATGAGAAGGGACCAGCAAGGGGGTCTCTTCCCACTGCCAGGAGTGCCTTTCCATGCTGGGGGAAACTGAGGCACAGACAAAGGCTGTGTCACCCAGCAGGGTAAACACCAGCTCTCCCGCAGCACAGCTCAGTGCCCCGCCCTGAGGGTCCCCGGGATGGAAAGGGCTGGCATGGAACCCAGCACCAGAAATGGGTGGGGGACACTGCAAATCGTGGCAGCACAACGGCCCCCATGGGCAAACTGTGGCCATTCGGGACTGTGGGGGATGGGGGCTCCTGGGCTCCCTGGGAGTCCAGCCAGGGTCTGGCCCCACTGTACGTGTCTCTGCTCCAGGGGTTGTCCTACAGGGACAAAGGAGGGGAAATACCCTCTTCTAGTAGCACACGGCTCCGGGGGCCAAAGCTTTCGGTCGGTTCAGGTGTCCCACAGCACAGGGAGGTCCCTGCAGGGAGGGACACACCGATCCTGTCCTCACCGCTGACAGCTGGGAACCCCCAGCCCAGCCCCCTGCCCTCATCCCCGGTCCCCAGGCACCCGCTCCCATGGCAGCAGGAGATGGCTCCTGGCCATCCTCCTCTGGACGCACCCACCGAGGGCAGAGACTCACGGGTGGGCGGCAGCCTCGCCTCTCCAGCGTGCTCGGCCCTCGCAACTTCCCCAGGCTGGCCGGACTCTGAATTCTTGCTCGGTAAAGCCACACCCCGAGTCCTTGCCTGCCTCCCGCAGAGGAGGAGCGTCCGCCGGCGGCCTCAGTCCCAGGAGCTTCGGGGAACCGGCCAGGTCGGCGGGGACCCACATGGGACGGACCAGGACCCCCAGCCCACTGTGGGACCTGCGACAGCCTCACGGACGGGCATCCCAGGATGGCATCAGCTGTGTCCCACCGACCCCATCCTCGCAGACAGCTCCAGTCTCCCGGGCAGCACTAACCCCCGCTGGGGGCTCTTTGCCAAGCCCCAGCATCCCAAACTCTGGCACGAACCTGACGCTTCACCGAGCCAGGAGCTGGTGACACGGAGCTGGCACAGCTTTTTGCCCATTTATTTTCCAGCTCTTGTGCTGAGGTGGCAAAAACCTCTGGGGCTGCAGAGCCAGAACTGCACGCCTGGCACCCTGGACCAGGGCAGAACCTGGATCCCACCTGGGATGTAGCCCCAGGACACCACAGCTTCCCCACACACTCCAGCTCCTCACTGGAGCATTGGGCATCACAGCTGGGCTGGGAATGAAGCCCTTTCTGATCCCAGTGAACCAATGTGGGCCACATGGGGCCTGGTTTGTTCCCACCTCCCCCTTTTCCCAGCCTTTTCTCCCACTGCTTCCCTCCTCCAGACCCAGAGGAGGAACATAGCTCTGGAGCATCCATGAGTCATCAATGGCATTGCTTGTCCCCAGCTCCCAACCAGATCAGCTCCTTCCCACAGCAGCCCAGTGTAGCAGAAACCCCTTCCCTTCCCCTTCCCCCTACTTCCCTTCTCTCCTTGCTGGCCTGGACCGCTCCTACCTTCAGGGAGACCTTGCATCTCTTGCCAGGCTCCATCTTCTACAAATCCCCCATGACAACTTCCAGCCCCAGCTGCTCCCGTGGGAGCACATGGAGCTTGGAACACCTCTGTGAGAGAGATAGGGCAGAGCAGGAAGCAGGTGATGGTGCTGGGAAGGCAGAAGAGACGTCCCCAGGCTCCCGGATCTGGTGGCTTTTGCTTTTCCTACATCGTTTGGGTTTAAATCCTTAAATTCCTATGGTGGGATGGCAGTGGCTCTTTCCCAGTGGGGACACCCCACCTGCACTGGAGCAAAGGCAGTCTGGGATTCCCACCTGCGCAGGGGCTGGAGGACTCCAGGGCCGACAAGGCAGCTGGGACGGTGCAGCCCAGCAGAGCTTTGCTGCTCAGTGGCCCAGGGTGGGAAGGACTGTGGGCTTGGCGGCAGCTGCAGGAGGGGGAGGGCTTTTCGCACCACAGCTGCCCCTGACCCCCACCCCTGCACAGGAAGGAAATCTGGTCCTTCCTGCCCCTGCAGAAAGGAAGAGGGGGAGGGCTGTGACACCCAGCACAGCGCTGGGTCCCCAACGCTTGGGGTGCAGCAGCCCTGCCAACAGAACAGCCAGCACTGCCAAGGGGAGCAGGAGAGCCACCAAATTCCCTGTTGGTCCCCACAGGCTGCTTCAGGGTGCAGTGCTAGGGTAGGATTTGACCCTCTTCAGGGACATCCACGAGTGGGCCTGGAGCAGGAAAGGAATCCAGCTAGGACACAGCTCCTGGTGCCCAGGCAAACATTCTGGGTCCTCTTGCCCTCAAAGCAAGTGCCACAAATCCAGCCTGAGCCAGTTCATCCAGTCCCCGCTTTGTGCTATGGAGCAAGTCCCAAATGGTTTTTGGGTGCTGAAAAAGTGTCCCTCCACCTGCCACCCTGTGAGTGCCATAGCATAGCCCCAGTGCCCAGGAACCAACCAGAGCCTGGCACCAAAGGCTGCTCTCAAACTTCTCTCTGGCCCCAAACCCAAACATGCTCTGCTCACCTTAATATTTGACCAGGGGAAACAGGGAGGTGGCTGAAATGAGGCTAAAAGGCACATTTTTGCTTGCTTTTATAATAAGCTGAAGAAGAAAGACAAGCCCCAGGTGCAAAGGCTGCTCTGAGAGGGCCCTGTGGCTGCACAGGCACACCCAGCTCAGAGGGCTAGGGAGGACCAGTTCTCCCAGTTGAGGCCAGAGCGGAGGGACTGGGATAGGACAGGCACAAGGGGACCCACAGAAGGACCTAGCCCCCTTCCCCAAGCCCGCAGGCCTCACCTTACCCAGCTCAGCTCCTGTTGGACACCGGATCCCTGACAAAGATCAGGAGCAGGGTGAAGGTGGTGGCCAAGTCTTCCTGTCTCCCCTAGGAAACCTAGGCAGGATCTGTTTACAGCCCTTCCATTATTCAGGAGCAGGACAAAGCAAAGGCAGAACAGAGCCTCACACAGAAGGGAGAGCCACCGTGATGCTGATCTGGGGCTCCATTTCCACACCACCAAGGACCCCTCTGAGCCATGTCCTACAGAAATGGGTGGCACCAAACCACAGCCACTCCTGCCAGTGCACTCACTGCATCCTACCCTGGAGGACACTGAAGACGACTTTTTTTGGCAATCAAGCTTCAAGACAGGCTGGGCTCAGGGACCAGGGAAATCCCCTGCTCAGGGCTGAGCTTTGGTGTCACTCCCTCACTGAGCAAACCTCAGCCCAGGGTTCAGGGTCTGAAGCTCTGGGTAAGGACCAAGGGGAACACCTGCAGCTCTACACAGAGGCAGAATCCCCCCTCCACTACATCCCTGCCACTCCCCATCCTCCCAGCATGGATCAGAACAGGTTCCCACTCCCTGCCAACACTGCTAATCAGCACAGCTCCAGCACCAGGATCACTGGGAGCTTTGTAAAGGAAAAGACTGAGAATTGTTCTTGTACATTTTATACACTTCAATCTACAAAAAGCCTGGCCTGGGAGGGGCACCTCTGGCTTAGGAGCATCTGTATCTAAATATCCATATTTGAATCCAGCAAGTCTGTTGGTAGCAGGAAACATCCCATCCACCTGCTTCCTGCTGTCACAGCCTGTGCTGCCTGCTCCGGCTGCACCGCCTGGGATCAGCCAGGGAATTCTGGAGCTGCCAAGCACCTTTGCCCCCGGACTTGCCATATGCCTGATCAGAAGGTATTCCTGCTTTGCCAGATGGCAGGAACACACAGCCCTAGGAGCTGTTCTGTAGCTCTGCACAGAAGCCAGAGCAGGGCCCGGGCTGGCGTTCCCAGCCCCGCTCAGCCCGAGCAGCTCCCCACAGGTAAGGGCACAGCCTCAGACAGACAGCAGCCTGCTCCATGCCCCTGCCATCAGCCTGAGCCAGGAACCAAACCCCTCTGCTCCCACCCTCCAGAGCCTGCATAAACAGCAATCACCAGGCACATAGCCGTGGCATCATCATGAGAGAGTTTTCAGGGAACAGAGCAGGTAACAGCCTGAAGCTCAGCCAGACCATGCTCTGAGTAAGCAGCCACCCCACTCCCCCCGCCGCCAAGACAACCAGAAACTACAGCCTGACCACATTTCACTGCCTGAGCTTTACCACCTGTCCCCATCTTCAGTGGTGTTTAAACCCACAGCAAAAGATTGTTGTCCCCCACTGCCCTGGAGCAGCTTCCTTGCAGCCCCTGCAGCCCTTACACACAGCTCCAGCCCCGACCTTGTCCTGCCTCTCCTGCACCACAACCACAACACAGCCCAGGCTCTGCTATCATGGCAGCCCCAGGAGCACAGGGACAGCACATTTTTCTTGCCTTTTATCTCTAATAAACCAACTTAACTTCAAAACTTACCTGTGGCATCAACAGAAGTTCAGCAGTGGTGGAAAGGGGAACCTGTGAGGCAGAAGCTGTCACAAATGTGTTTGAAGTCAACACAAAGAGCCTCCAACATAGATCCAAGGTCAGGGCAGATGTCCTTAGTGGTGATTTACAGAGTGGCAAGAAACTCCTGATCAGCTACACGAGGGTCATGCGGGGTCACAGAACCACTGGATATTCTGAGCTGGAAGGGACCCACTGAGACCTCAAAGACCACCAAGTCCAAACCGAGATGGCAGAACTCCCTCTCCTTCGTGAGCTTCACTGAACATTCTACAAGGACAAGTACTGTTCCTCCTGCTTGGAACCAGATGTGGTGTGCAGTAGAACTGAGGAGCTGATGTCTGATAAGCAGCAAAGCTCAGTCCAGGGTCTGTACCTGCACAGCTGCTCCCCTACCCTGCAGCACCTCCTGTGAAGCTTCCCAGGGAGCCACGTGTTCAATTAAACCTCCAGCCACGTTCCTTCTGGTCAGACTACATTTCTGACAGGCCCTGTACCCCTCACTTCTCAGTCAGCCCAGAACCACAGGAAGCTTCATGGTTGCTTCTTCCTCACAGAAATCAAAAGCCAGATCAGTGGTTGCTTGGGGGCTTTCAATGGAGAATATTTCCACACTGCTCTTTGAAAAGACACAGAGTCGAGTCCTTCATCACTGCTTCAGTTATTTTAGTTTGTCCCCTCCTCTCCCTCCCTGTTTATGTTCTCTGAAAAGCACCTTCTGGTTTTAAAAGTTTAGATCTCATTTTCAAAGAAAAACACCAGTGTGAGAACTTAAGTACCTTTACATACTTTTGCCTTACAACTCCTCTTTCAAGTAATTCTTTTGTTTGATCATTTATGCCTTTCTTTCCTTAAACTGGGATCTGCTGGGCTGGGAATTAAGATTATTGTTGATGACTGCTGTCTTGCTCACTGCTTCTCAGACACTGAAATATCACACTGTGCACGAACACAATTCTGCTGCAGTAAAACAAACATGGATTTTGTTTGTTGATTGTTCCTGGAAAGGAAAAAGGAAAGTTCTTGGAAAGCAAAACCTCCTACTTCTTCCCGAAGAAGAGAACACAAGACCACTTTGATTAGCACCAAAAGGATTTTAAATGAACAGTTCCAGGGAGCTCCTTTCAAATCATAAAATGTCAATTTTACATAAAAGTGTGTTTACAAATAGTTTCTGCTTTACACTCAGCTCTGCTCATTACTGACCAGAAGTTATATACATACAAACTAGCTCAGCAGCTTCAACCACTTGCAAGGAGACTGCAGAATTTATTTCAGAAATAAAAATAGGATTTCCTGGTTCCTAGAAATTCTCTTCAGCCTGCCAGATTCAGTCCCCTGTGGGCTCCTGCAGCCTCAGGAGAGCACTAAGCCTTTGGGGAGAAGGGGTACTGTGGGTGCCACCAGTCCAGGAGCCTGACACTGTGCACAGGGTCCAGCACCACCTGCACCCCCTGCTCCATGCGCGGCTTCTTCCCGTTGCGCACGGGCGTGTCCTGGAACACCAGGCGCACGCGGTGGTGCCGCATGTCCGTGCTCACCGAGATGGAGAACTGCAAGAGAGGAGACCAGAGCTGCTTCAGAGAGTCACAGTGACCAAGAGAGCTCTCAACATGACAGACACTTCTAGACTTTATAAATTCCTCTGAATTGTACAGGGTGTTTCACAGTCACATTCTCTAGGCTACAGCACTGTATCCAAACCAGCTGGCTGGCTGGCAGCCCCAAATAATCATGCCGGAAGCTGGAAGCGATGTCAAAGAACACTGGAACTGCCTGGGCAGTGGTGGCATCACCATCCCTTGCAGTGTTCAAAAGGCCTGTGGATGTGGCACTTGGGACATGAGTTAGGGGTGAACACAGCACTGCTGGGACTTGATCTTAAAGGTCTTTTCCAATCTAAGTAATTTTATGACTCTGATTCTAAGTGAACCTGAAAGCAAGTGGCTGTCAGGAGAAGTCTGGAACTCACTGCCCAACTCCTAAGTGAGGCCAGACAGAACCTCTACTGAGCACTGGCCACTTCTGAAACCCTTACTCCCAATCAGGGACCAAACACACAGTCAGAGAGTTTCCTCATGTGGGATTTTCCTCTCAGAATTTACTGCCATAAAGAGATATTCCTGTGAGGGGCAGACCTCCACTTGTACTGCTCCCTGTCTCCTGTACCTGCTGCAGTTCTGGTAACACCTGCAGCCAGACGCTGCACAGCCACAGCTCCTGGCACATTCTCTACATCCTCTCTATTCAGTGCACCAAACAGGGAAGAGCCAACAGAAATGGAGAAGTTAAACTGAGATTCTGAGCACTTCCTCTCTTAATTAACCATATGATTCCCAGAACTGGTTTGCTGATACAGCAGTAGGATTTATACAGCCCAAAATAGGCACTGGGTGGGATTCTTGGGGCTGTCCTGTGCAGGGCCAGGAGTAGGGGACCCCATGAGTCCCTTCCAACACAGGAGATTCCAGGTGCTCACTTCATGTCCTTACAGGAACCTCATCTGCAAAGCCTGGCAGCTTTCTCCCACTCACCAAGGTGAAGGTCATGCCCATGACGATTGGCACAAAGATGAAGTTGAAGGTGGTGATCTGCAGTAGGCAGCAATCCTGATCAGGGTTTGTGTGCACTTCCTCATACTGGATTGGGGGCTGGAGACCTTTGCAACACTTGCTCTTAAATCTGGGAGACTTAAAAGAAAGAGAGGCCGATTTAGAAAAGCAAGAACCTCTGCTGGGTTTGGCTGCTCCTCCCCAGTGTGGCCTGGCAGGGTCTCTCTCCTCCTCCCCAGGTATTTGGGCAAAGTGTCACAATAATAACAAAATGCCGTCACTCAGGATGGGCAATTTTCAGAACCATTTCTTTAGAGGGGAAAGCTGCACAATTCCCAAGGTTGCCTGAAATTACTGGCTTCTCCCAACACCCACTACTGGAGGCTTTCCCTGGCAGTGCTGGCTGCCTTCACTTCTCTGAGAAATCTTGGCAATGGCATAACAAGAAGTTTCAGATTTTGGTCAACATTTTGACCACTGTAGTCAGACAGTCTGGTTTTTGGTAACAATCAGTGGTGATGATCCACATCTTATAGCAGGGAAAGGATACCAAAGGAGGAAATAAAAATGTGGGATTCTAAATGTCTTGATAACAGAGACTGAAAACTGAGTGTAGTTGCACAACGTGCTTCAGTTTACCACAGGAATCTGTATTTATTCTCTGAATGGACAAAAAGTTTCCACTTCCCTTCTACCCCCCGCCCCTCCAAAAAAAAACCCCAATTTCTGCTTAAAACAAGTCACAGCTGATCTGGTTCTTTCATACCTGCTTTTTGAACTTGAAGTTGAATTCCCACATTGCTTCTTGTCTGTTCCCTACAATCTTTTTGCACCAGAAAAGCAGACACTGAGGTGGAAAAAAGAAACACAAAATTATGAAACCCTTAGAAGCACCAGTTTAAGTAAGTTTTAACAGATCATAAAGGCTTTCAATTGAAAACACAATTACATAGGAGTAATTAGGAGCCGCTTATTCAAATTAATTATGTTGAAAGAACTCTCTCAGTAGTGTAGATCTCCCAGTTTCAAGCTGGCCAACTCCTCATGCAACCCGTAGTCACTGATGTGCCAAACAGCAAAATCCTGATGTGCCATTTGTCCCTTTCCTAGGGCAGGTATGAGTGGCGCACGTTCACCCATTCCCTCCACCCACCAGCAACTCCCATTAAACTGGGTTCCAAACAAGGTTAAAGCGAGGAACAAGAGAGAACAGAATAAGGATTGAGAAGGAAAGGATCCAGAGGGAAATGCAAAGACCCCAACATGAGCTATGAGGTGATGGATGAAGAAGTTCCTAAGCCATTGTGGTGTCAAATGGAGACCCTGACCTTGCCATTACCAGCACTGACTGTCATCATTTCGAGTCCAAAACCACTGCCAGGACAGCACAGTCTGACCAACCTTCTATCTCTTTTCAAAAGAAAATGAGAAACCAGCCTCAAAGAGCCTCAGAAGTCACCAGCACTGCTCTCTCACGCAGACATACACCAGGACTGCTCCAATTTCACTTGGTTATCACTGTGTGGGCCACAGGCTCCAGCCCAGGAGCTCATTCTAGAGCAGAAGGCTCAGAAAAACTCCTGTAGGAGGGAAATCCCTGCCTGCCAGTCATAGTACAAGCAACCAGCCTTCAACAGCTAAGGAAAGAACCTGGCAAGTCAGTCCAGCCATCCCACAAAGCTTTTCCACACCACAGATGCCAGCCCATCACAGCTGGTCTTATCTTTCATCAGTGTCAGCAGGTAAAGGAGGAATAATAATGTGGGTAAAGAGAAATCCCTGTGATCCATACACAGTCTGTCCTGAAGAGAGAAGGCCTGACTGGGTTGCAGGACAAAGCACACATTTAACTTCATTCCAGGATGGAGTGATCCTAATACAACTAAGCCAGAGCCAGCCTCCACCACAGGGGCTCTGAAGAGACCAAGGGGGATACAAGACCCTCTACTTCAACTCTGAGTCACATCCACAAACAAGTCCTTAAAAGACCTTTTTTCTCCACAATCCTCATGAGGTGAACAACAAAGCTCTGTGGAGTAAAGCTCAGAAATATGCATGGAATGCCTCCACCTGGGAGGAAGCAGTCCTCAGGTTTTTTCCAATAAAAACATTCTCCATATCTTTGAACTCAGATGAGCAGCAAATGCTGCTGAGTTTAACTCCACCGTCAGTGGCATTTGTAGTTCACCTGCAGAGGCAGCCTGGTCTAGCAACCTGTTTGGTCATGGCAAGTAGTGAAGCACAAAAGGTCAGTACCTCCTAAGGGGCAGAGGATGTCGTCCTCGGGTCAGCCGTCCTGCCCTTCAGACGCGCCGTGCGGGGCCGCTCCGCCCAAAATAATGGGGTGTCTTTAAAGGGCAAACACCTCTGCTGACACCATAACGGCTCCAGTGTCCCACACAAGCTAGGCTAGGGAAAGAAAAAAGGAAATTAAAGAGGAAAAGCTAGGTTGGATAACACCCGGGGCTGGGCTCTCCTCTAGCCACATGCAGTTTAGGTAGGCATTGCCGTTAGTGTCAGCAACCCACAAAGGTAGAACCAAAGCCCAGGAAAGCCAGAACGTGGGGAGGCAGTGCCAGGTCCTCCTCCAAACCCTCTGTGCTGAGGGATTTGTGTGCACAGTCACACAAGTGGAGCTCAGAGTCCTGCAGTGCAGCAGTACAGCAAGACCACACTCAGGGTGGCTCTTTCATGCTGCAAGGGGTTAGGTCAAACCTCTACTGCTCTGACAAAGTCTTGTCCCCATTTAATTTCCTTTTTTAAAAGCTGAACAATGAAAGACTGCACTAAAGGATCCTCCTCCATCTGTTAGTACAGGAGAAGCACTAGCAGTGGGCACCAAAGCCGTTATGATGTCACCAGGAATCCTCCCGAAATGTCAACCCTGCCAGCACTGCCTTGGGGTTTCAGCTCCTACAGCCACGAGCAGTGGCAGCTTGGGCTCAGGACTACTGGAATTTCCTCAGAGTGTTTTGCTTTTTCAGTTGATAAGAATGAAGATCCCCAGCCTGGGGACTCAGGAGGAGAATGAGGAGCTCTGGATGCAGAGTAAGACCGCACACAGAGCCATGTGCTTTTCCCTGTGCTGCAGCACCACCTCCTGTGTGCTGCTGGATGCTCCCCAAGCCCATGACAGCCTGTGACAGGGAGAGGAAGGAAGAAAGGTGGGATGTCATGTACAGATAGATGAGGCCCCTCTATTTTGAACAGAAGAGAAAGAACAACTCCTCAACGAAACCAACTTCAGTGTGGCTCCAAAAACCTCTTTCAACAGGTTTTTGACCTAGGATTTGGAGGGTGGAGAATTCACATCGTTGCTTAAGCTGCTCACAGATTATTGGCCAGTTGCAAGTTCAAACCAAACAAGAGACACAAAGGCATTTCAGAGTTAATGGTCAACAGCAATTAAAGAGGAATGATATGCAAATGCTCCAAGCTGGGATAGCACAGGGAATTACCTTGCCCACACCACAGACAAACCCTTCACAGCCCAACACAAGTGCAGCCCAGTCCCAAAGCAGACACTGGCTCTGCACATTTGCCATGCTCACCCCAGCATCACCACCCCACCTCACCCACACACCAGACCATGGATGACCTGCAGGAAAGCAGGGTGACACAGCTCCTGACATCAGTGTCACTCCTGAGCTCTCCAGAGGCCTGTTACAGAGAGAAGATGTACTCTGGCAGTGTCAGAATAAAGCAAAACATATAAAAGCTGATCCTATGGAGCCTTGATCAGAAGAAGGGAAGCTGCAAACATCCCTGGCAGTTCTGACATCCAGTGATACCAGGGCCCTTTTGCTGGTTAAAATGGTGTAGGACTTAAGCAGAAGTTACTCCAAAGAGTAACTCTACAGGTACAAGTAACCAGCCCACTTTTACAAATCCCACTGAGAATACCCAGTTAATGACATCCTACACCAGCTTCACTGGTGACCATCTTCATATCATCTGTTTTTCTTCTAGAAAGAAAAAACCAAACAGAAACAGCAACACCTCAGACAAATCCCAGCTCCTGAGTGATGCCACTTACTCTGGAATTCTTTAAAGTGCTGGGAGTACTGTCTGGGATGGCTGGGTTCCTGGAGAGGCGGGCGGCGAAGGGCTCGTACATGTGGAACAGGGAGCGGATGACGCAGGCGCGCAGGCAGTGCAGCTTCTCCATGGACTCGGGGCGCAGGCGCAGGGGCAGGTACGCGTCCAGGCTGTAGTGCCTGCAGAACCCACAGGAACGGCGTCAGCTCCAGGGCACAGCAGGGCAGGGCAGGGACAGAGCCGTGCCAGGGGACAACTCCACGTGTGACAGACTACAGGACTCTGGTCAACCCTGAGGGCTGCTGACAGGACATCACATGGCAGGCTCAAAGCCCGGACCTGCACCAGGCAGGCTTCCAGCCCACACATCCTACTACAATTCCCAATAATTTGTAGTTTGCCCAGAGACCAGCCGGGGATGTAGCTGCAGGCTGCACAAAGGGCTGCAGGTTGCTGCAGGTTCCCAGGGACTCCCAGGTGAACTGAATGCAGCTCTCAGTACTGCTTGAGCAGCCTGAACACCTGCACTCAAGAGCTATTACTTGATCACATTCCAAAGGAGCCTTTGCTAGGGAATGTCACACTAAAAACCAGGGGCAAGGATGACCACAGCCACTCTACTCTGTGCCCCTGCTGCTTGTGCCTCCTGGGCAACAGGTAGAGCTGTGTAAAGAAAATATTCTCTCCTGAAGGAACATCCCAGTGGAATGTACTGGGACAGAAGGGTTTGTATCAAGTGTTGACAACCCCTTTGCCCTCCTTGCTTTCACTTACTCCTGTCACTGTACAGCTCCAGAATTCCCAAATTACACGGAGGTGACTGTGATTAAAGCTTGAGGTAGGGCAAGTTGTCATCAATGACATTTGCCTTTCAGCACCGACCATGCCACACACACTTGGATAGGTTGATATATACAAGTGTTGGGCCATGGCAAGCAGAAAAGGACACAAAGCTCGGAGATTTTGCAGGGAACATACAGGAATACACCACAAAGATCCATTTCCATACCCAAAGCAGATGTGATTTTAGAATCGTACAATGGTTTGGGTTGGAAGGGACTGTAAAGCTCAGCTCATTCCACCCCCTGCCACGGGCAGGGACACCTTCCACTATCCTAGGGTGCTCCAACCTGGCCTCGGATACTACTGTGGATGGGACAGCCACAGTTTCTCTGGGCAATCTGTGCCAGGACCTCACAGCCTTCACAGTCAAGAATTTTTTCCTAACATCCAATCTAACCCTGCCCTCTGCCCACAATTTAAAACCATTACTCTTTGCCCCGTCACCACCCATCCATAAAAAGTTTCTCTGCCTGCCTTTTATAAGCCCCCTTAAGGTACTGGAAGGTCACAGGGATGTTTTCTCCAAGCCTTCTCTTCTCTTCTCCAGACTGAACAACCCCAGCTCTCCCAGTCTGTTTTTGAGGGATAAGAATATTCCACAAGAGAGGCCCACATCACCACGTCAATGTGCAAACACAGGGCCCAGGCCTACAGGGAATTATTCCCTTATTTCCAGCTCTGCAGAGAACTGCTCTCTACAGAAACCTCCCACAACCAGTTTTAAAACCCTCTAGAGTCTCACCTTCTGTAGAGCCTGGTCCAAAAGGCAGCAGTGCAAGTGACAGTCCAGGCTTTCTTGCAGATCAGAGAGAACCGGACGATGTCCTCAGGGCGGATGTAGGAAGCCAGGAGCAGCCAGATGTCGATGGGATATTCCTCTCCTCCTCCCCCTTCGGCATCTTCTAAAGGCAACGAGGGTGTATTAGCACGGGCCATCACATCTGCACCAATTCCCACCCAGAGACACGTGCTGCACACCTGGCAGCACACGTGGGCCGCTGATTTACACACACAGGGAAAGCCCAAGCCCCAGTCTGCACAGCCTCAGTGGCCCTGCTCTCTGTTCCCACCAGCGTCCACACAGCCATGACACCTCCCCTGGGCTGGACACCTGCCACTGTTATCCCCACTGCACAAATGGGTGAAGAGGCAGATTCATAACGGAATTCAGGATGAAAGGGTTCTCTGGATGTTTCTAATCCAGCACCTCAGGTCAAAGCATACGCAATTAGGTCATTTTGTTCAGCATCTTGTCCAAGTGAGTGCTGTGTGCAAGGATGGAAACCACAAAGCCTTTCTGGACCCTGTTGTGATGCCTGACCCTGGCACAGCTGAAATACCACACTGAAGTTGAGAAATAAAAACTGGATGTCAAATAAAGAGGCAACTTTATGTAAAGGAGAGCCAAGTTCCTGCATTTTTAATGAAAAGGGCACATTTTTCAACAGGTCACTAAAATAGCTTCACACATGAAGACCGTGATCATTGGTACTGCCAGGCTTGTCCAGTTGGTACCACCAGGTCTTTGTTCCAGTGGTCACAATATTTTGGTAGGATCTCTGTCAGGGAGGGAAATTCTGTTCTGCATCTGGCAATCAGCTTATTTTCTTAAATCTCTTAATTTCATTAAAACTTCTTGGATGTGAACTTTTAATGCAATTCAGATGGAGAGAAAGGCCTGTTCTTCCTTTCAGAGGTGTCAGAGCTGCTCAGCTGGAACTGAGGGCTCACACTCCTTTCATTCCTGGAGTGTTTTGTAGTTTACACCACACTTTTTTCTACAGAATTGCTCCAACTTTAGGAGTAAAAAATACTTTTAAAGAATATAAGTAGGTGAACAACATGGAGCATTAGGAAAGTTAAGAACAGAGAAGGAAAACACAACTTGTGCACAGTGCCAATAGGAAAAGCTGCTGTGAGGTCTCTGGCATAGAAGAGGTGTTTGGGAACTTGAGGGTGCCAGATCTAACTCTGAGACATCAGGTTAATACAAAGGGCAGTTCTTTATCCTCATGTGATAGTTGCCAAAGAAAGCTCTGGATGTGATCACTTCCCCACAGCACTTCAGATTTATGGCAGGCACACCCACAATGGGCTGCTACACCCATTTTGCTGGGTCAGCTCTGCCTCAAGAAGCCATCAAACTTGACACTGCTGAACTCAGAGGGCAGCCAGAAGCATCACTGTTCTAGCACCATTTTTTCCTCCCTAAACATGTAGCAGAAACAAGACAAGGCTGTGATAGAACAGAATATTGTCTTCCCAGTCTCACAGCTCCAGCTACTCAGATATTATTTTGCCAGGATTCTGAAGGATGCCTTAATAAAAGAGGTTAACCTCTTTTAACTCCCTTCCCAGAGGAAGTACTGTCCACCCTCAGTCTGTGGTGGATGGATGATCATGTGCTACATAAATTGCTATTAAGCTCAAGAAAACTTGTTAAAATTTGATTCTCAACCTGAAAGCAACTTGATACTAGAAACTTCCACAGGGTTCCCCAGTCCAGCAGAGCTGTTTGATGCTTACACTGCATTGTCAATGGATTTCTATGGAGTTGCACAAAGTGCAACTAATGAAGGATACATCTCCCTTGAATTAATGTATTAAGGTGCCACTAGGATCAAATGCACTTCCTTGCTGGAAAAAGAGCCCTTTAAACCCATTTGCAACAAACCACAGCCTTGGAAACACACTGAAAACAGAGCTTGTGTTTTGCCAACAAATGCATCATGGACAGCAGCACTTCAACCCCAAAGCAAACCTGCTGCCACCACCCCATGTTGCACAACTCTGGAATAGCAGTGTTTGTTTTCCAAGGCTGAGGAATATTTGTTAAAAGCAAGGAGCTCTCAGGCTCTGATTTCATGCCCCAGGCTCTGCCTGTGTGCAAATGCAGCTCTTGTGACCAAGTGCCAGCAGATTTACAAGTGACTAAACCCTTGGCATTTCTCTGTGCACACACAAATTCCAGAATGCTCCAAGAGCCCCATGACCATCCTGTAAATCCCCAGCATGAGCATCCCCCATACTGGACACCAGGAGCCCACAGAGCCCCAGGATGACAGGTGACCACACCTTTGTGCCTTTTGCTCTTCTTTTTCCTCGAGGCAGCCCTCCCGTTGATGCTCTCCTTGGTATCCATCTCATCACTGCTGTCACAGGACTCTCCTGACACGGAGAGAACTTCCTCAGTAGGGACACAGGAAGCTTCCAAACCACACAGGGATTTTACTGGAATGAAAAATGACAGTAAGTACAACAGCAGAGAGGAAAAGGTGATCCAAGTCCAGGAGATGCTTCAGTGGAACCACTGCCTTAAAGCCTTCTGGTGAGTGACACAAGCAAGTAAATCCTGAGCTCAAGGATTACCTTGTCAGAGAAAGATTAGCAGGAGTGAGTGAATGGGAAACATAATTATTCAGCTGCTTGTTTTAAGTAATGAACAATGAAGATGATTACCAGAACATTATGCAGATCCTACTGATTTAGCTGAAGCTATTTACAGCTCCAAATAAAACAACAGGCTCTTTCTAAGGGGTAACTGGTTTCCCTTAACAGCAGAGTTGCTTTGCATGGCCACATTCAGCCTGGAGCCAGCACCTGCTCTGGAACTGCTTTATGAGCATGGAGAAGACTCACTCCCTTTGCAGCAGAACAACCGTCCTGTGGCCGATGACACAATCCACTGGAGCTGGAACTCAGTGGCAAGTGCACAGGAGTTCCACTTACCCCGGAATTTAGTGAAGGGGAAGGCTCTGGCCTAGCGAGGAAAACAGCCAGCTGAGTCAGCTGGAGCTTGGGGCCGTTTTTTTCCAGTATTTGGGGACATGTTTAGACACATTCCTGTTCAGGAATATTATTTTTAAAACTCGATCTGTAAACTGAGGGCTCATTAGGGCAGAAAAGTCCACATGAGAGTCAGTAATGACAGTCTTGGAAAAGAAAGGTGTGGCCCTGCATTACAGCTGTGTGAGGCACTGCCACAGAGACCAGCACTGCCACAGCAGCACCAAGGCTAACAAACAGCCTGTGAAATTCATTAAAGAGCTGAATTTCAACCCAACAAACGGGGTGAAGAATAGAACATGACCAGTGAGGTCAGAGGAGGCTTATAGTGTTCAAGCTTTTCTACTCAGCACAAACTGAAGCCTAGGAAGGTTTTATACATGCCAGCTCCAGTCACTGCAGTCACCAGAGTCACTGAAGAGCAAAATGTGCTGTTTGAATCACAGAGACAGAGTGGCAGAAAAACAAACAACAACAAGAAGAAACTAAAAATATACTCAGGTGAAAAATATTCTCATTTCTAACCACCAAACAAGGTTTTAATAAAATGAAAAGACAGCAGATAGAAAGTCTTCAGACAGGGCTTGACTGTACCTGCTGACTAGACACACCTCAGTGCTTTGCTAAACCAGTTCTACCTCGCTTTGCACAGTTTGTTCTGTAAACTGGATGCTTTCCTGGCACCTGGATGTATTCATGGCAGTTGTTCCTCCACTGCCCTCTCCACATGACCTTTCATAGGTAAAAAGAGAGTGAAATATGTGGCAACACAAATGGCAGTGAGTTAGGACATCAAATACAGCCAAGCAAGAGAGGACAAAACTGACAGGGACTCAGAGTGGGGTTTAGAAGAAGAGTCCACCCCACTCTGCTACGGAAAAGTCAACCTCTGAGTCAACAGCATGAGTCCACCGAGCAGTGAATGGCTGCGCTGCAATCCTGCAGAGGCACCCTCTCTTCACCTCACTCCTGCAATCCTCTCATCCTGGGCACTAAAATGGGTAAGAAAGAAGCCCAGAAAAGCTCCTCCTGGCCGCGGCTCCCCTGTCGGTGAAGCTCCCATGGGATGATGAAGCTCCCATGGGATACTCGCTGTGGGAGGCCGCTGCAGTCCCACCCAGCAAACCCAGGGGGTCCCACCCAGTAAACCCAGGGGGTTTACTCTGAGCGGAGTTTCTGGAGGGCAGCAAGGCCAAAGGTTGGAGCTCCTGTCCCCACGCGTGGCACCCCAAGACGCACAGATAAGGCTGGGCCAGATAAGGCTGCAGCACAGTCATGGCTGCACCAGATAAGGCTGGAGCACAGCCCTGGAGCTGGGGAGGAGAGATCCCGAGAATGAATCCGGAGGGGAAACCCCTGAGTCTGCACTGCAAAGACCTGGGAAAGGGGTGGGCACGGAACTGCTGTGACCTGGAGGCACCAGGATGAGGTGGAGGGGGGCCAGAAACACAGCAGGAAAGGGGATAAACTGGGTGAAGCAGATGATGCCGAGGGCAGGGAGAACAGAACACCAGCAGTTTGCCAGCATGATGCTGAAGTGCTGGACTCTGCCTCAAGGAGACAGAACACAGATGGGTGAACAGGAGCAGGACTGGGAGGAGGGAAGCCCCAAACAAAGGAGGCCACAAAAGAGGGAAGTGTCCTGATCTTAAAAGCTTGAGAAGTAGAAGCTGAAGAGGATGTTCAAGAGCACCACTGCCCCTGACAGGCACTCATGCCAAGTGCATACTGCCTCCAACAATGCAAGATTTCAGCAGCATATCAAGAGTTTCTCTTTATGAAAAGTTCAGTCATCATTGTCAACACAACATCCACCCCAACACGTGTGACAGCTACATTTAAAAGGCCTAAACATCACCACTTCTCAAGCAAGTGGGGTGTGTTAGCTCAGAAAGCTCCCAGACAAGGAGAAAGATGTTAACAAAATACTGCACTACCTTTCCAGGAAAACTCCTTCTTTGCAAAGTTCACCAAAAAAACAGCAACACCCTCCCAAGACCTCCTCACAACACATGTTTGACAGACCTATTACAACCTTACTCCCCTGGCAAAGAACTTTACCTGCTAATAAAGTTATCTACAGTTTTATATGTGGTAATAAAGTAATTTTATAATGTTATTTTCTGCTTTAATCAGGAGATGACACCCAAGCCTTTCCATTTCAGGCAGTAACAAAGACTCAGCAATTCTTGCAGCAGGATCTCTGCAAAACCTTCTGTCTAAATCTGGTTGTCTACAGAGTAGCACGGGTTCATTTTCAGCACTAAAGCACACTTTCTCAGTTTAAGGAAAAGGAGTTTCCCATGTCATGCAGAGCAAAACCTGAAGGCAGTGTGGGTAAGGCTGGGGCCCCGTGGCATACTCACCTTCCTGCTGCACTGCGTTGGCCACAGCCTTCTTCACCCGCCCAGACTTCACAACAGCTGGGTCTGAGTTGGCATAATCTGCCACCGTCACTGCAGAGAGGGGGAAACAGGGGTCAGAGGGATTAGGGATTACGGGGAGGGGACAAAAGGGCTGAGAGTCACGATGACTAAAGGGAACAGTCCCCAGAGGAGCAGAGGCTCGAGGAGGAGATGCACAAGCAAGAAAATGAGCCTGAGCAGAGACATGCAGACCAGCAGTCCCCAGAAAGTCTCTACTCCAGACCAGGCTACCAGGCTCAGGGGACCAACGTCCCCACCCAGCTCAATGCAATTCTCCTTCTCCCACCACCTCAGCCAGTGATAATCCCATTCTCCCTCACACAGCCCAACTCGAGCCTCGCTGATCCTCTGGTCTCAGGCTCCTCCTCCACAGGCAAAGAGGTCTTACTGCCACACATCCCTCCAGAACCCTGCTGGGGGATCCCTCCTGGATGCAGCTCTCTGCCCGCACAAACGCGAGAGGGCCCAACTCACTCCTAGGTGAGACCAGACCGTCCTCCTTCCCCTCATCCCCCTCACCCAGGCCAAGCCCAGGCCCTTTAACTATCTCCTCTCTCAGGCCCTAATGCGGGCCCAGGCCTCCTCTCCGGCGTGCACCAGCACGGCCAAGCTCGGCTCGGCTCACCTCAGACCCGCCTTTCCTCACAGTCCCGCTCCCCTCATCAGCCCCAGCCCATCTCAGCCGCGGCCCAGGCTCGGCCCTGCAGGCCCGGCCCGGCCCGGCCCGGCTCTCACCCCGCTCGGAGCACACGTCGTCGGCGCGAAACTTGAGGCGTTTGCGGGCGCCCCTGCGGGGCATGGCGGCGGCGGCGGGGCGGCCGCGCGGGGCCATGTCCGGCCGGGCCCCGCGGGGACAGCGGGGACAGCGCCACAGCGCCCGCCCCGCGCCGCGTCACCCCCGCGACACCGCGCGCCGCCCTGACGTCACCAGGGCTGTGACATAACCCCCAGTCCTCCCAGTGCTGAGGGATCCCTCTGCAGCGCTCCCAGTAACGGGGACCCCGAGGGGCTTCCCCTAGGGTCCCCCCGGCGCGGTCCCCATAACGGGGGCCCCCGAGGGGCTTCCCCTCCCAGTGCTGAGGGATCCCTCTGCAGCGCTCCCAGTAACGGGGACCCCTGAGGGGCTTCCCCTCCCAGTGCTGAGGGATCCCTCTGCAGCGCTCCCAGTAACGGGGACCCCTGAGGGGATTCCCCTCCCAGCCCTCCCAGTGCTGAGGGTCCCTGAGGGTTTCTCCCTCCCCTCACAGTCTTATCAGTAACAAGAGCACTTCAGGAAATTCCCCCCATTCAAATTCAGGAGATTTCCCCCAAGTAAAGGGGATCCCTGAGGAGATCCCCCCTCGTAATGAAGATCTGTGAAGTAATTGCCCCTCCCATAATGGGGGTGTTTGAGGGATTGCCCCCTCCCAGTTCTCCATTAGCAGGGGCCCTGAGGGGCTTCCAGCCGGCCCCAGTCCACCCAGTAATGGGGCTCCCGTAATCCTCCCTGTCCAGTATGAGGGTGTGAAATACAAAGCTGTGTTTGGTGTCAGGTACATACAAGCAACGTGTGTATTTGTGATTGTGATATGTGTGGAAACTGGCCATGGGACAGTTATAAAAATTCTAATAAATAACTGAGGAAGTAAAGCATGGAAGAAGGCCTTTGAACCTATCCTTTGTTTGCAATTATGTAGTCTTAAGTTGATTTAGGAGCATTTGAATTAAAGCTTTAAGGATGTTGCTGTTTGACAGGAACTTTCTGCTTCTAGCAAAAAAAAAGTTTTGCAGTAATAACCTTTTGAAGTATAATTTTATAAATACCTGTAAACCCCAACTATCGGCGTGAAGTTGGAGGGAAAATTTCCCCCACTGTACCCAGCGCTGTATTGCTCATACTTTACCATATTAATTAATAAATTGATTGCTGCTTGAATATTGGCCTAGTCAAGTTTCTCATTTATAACAAGGGTCTGTGAGCTAACTGCCCCCTCCCAGTAAAGCAGGGTGCTTGAGGGGATCCCCACACACCAGTCCTCCCAGTACTGAGGGTCGCTGAGGTGAACGGCATGAGGAGAACCCCATCCTCCCAGTCACAAAGGCCTTTAAGGGTGCTGGCTCCCCAGTGCTCCCAGTAATGAGGGCCTCTGAGTAAGTGCGTCCCCAGATCTCCCAGAACATGGATCTCTGAGGGAATTGCCCCCACGTCCTCCCTGTAATGACAGCCCCTGAGGTAACTTCACTCTCCAGTCCTGCCAGTAACGAGGGGCTCTGGGATAATTGCCCTTCCCAGTCATCCCAGTAAGGGGGGACTCTGGGATACCTGCCCTTCCCAGTCATCCCAGTAAGGGGGAACACTGGGATACCTGCCCTTCCCAGTCATTCCAGTAAGGGGGGACTCTGGGATACCTGCCCTTCCCAGTCATCCCAGTAAGGGGGGACTCTGGGATACCTGCCCTTCCCAGTCATCCCAGTAAGGGGGGCCTCTGAGGGGATTCCCCCCATCCTCCCAGTAGGGAGGGTCTCTGAGGCAACTGGCCCCCAGTAAAAGGTTCTGCGGTGATTGCAGGCCCCCCCAGCGCTCCCAGTAAGGAGGAACTCTGAGCTGATTGCCCTGATGCACCCCCCTGTTGGAAACAATGGAACTTTTAAATATTAATTTTAGTTAATGGTTTTAATAAACTTTTAAATTAATTGCTTTAATTAACCTAACCTATATATAAATTATAAATAGTGTGTTATTTTTAAATTACTCTTTTCCAACATTTAGTATAGTTGCCATGAGCCACTTCCATAGGAGTCTTTTCCACAGATTGGGAAAAGTACTGAAATTGAAGTTTTGATAAATGAAGTCTGTTATGCTTCAATGAACAAAGCCTGGGAGAGAAGAACATATTGGTGAGGTTGGACATATGGAATGTTGAATTTATGAACCACAAATACATTTTGCAGAAACCTGGAGATAAAGAAGAGGCAAACAAAGACTCCATCTATGTGTTAAAGGTTCCTACTTTCCAAAGATACTAAAAAGATGGACTAATTAACATAAGAAGTGAGAAATCAGTAACTGGTAGAGGAGAGAATAGTATTAAATGAAAGTGAACTATAAAAGAATTATGGAATTTAAACCAAATTAAGTTTTGGGGGTTTTTTGTTGTTGTTGTTGTTGGGTTGGTTTTTGGGTTGTGGTTTTTTTTTTTCGTTGTTGTTGGTGGTGGTTTTTTGTTTGTTTGTTTGTTTTGTATAAACACGTAGAAAGGTTCTGTATTTCTGTCTATGTGGAGGCTGGAACTCTGTTGGCCACACACACCCTGGCCAAGGATAAAGTAATGCCACTGACACTAAAAAGACAGTCTTGGCGGGGTTTATCCTGATGATTTCAGAGGATTTGGAACACTCCCAGGAGACACCCACTGAGCAGTGCCCATGCACAGCCCACACCATGGGCTCTCAGTGCCACCCACACTTCTGTGGTGGGAGCAGCGAAGGGTGGGCACCAGCTGTAAACTGCATTTGCTATTTTTTAGGGTTGAAATGGGTGCTTGGAGCTTGCTGAAGGAGTGGTGCCACCCCATGGGGGAGGAATTGGTTCCAGGGGACCTGCAAAGGGAAATCGTGACTGGCAGCCCAGGGGCCGATGGTGATTTTGGGGCCTGTGTCCCCTGAGGGCTTGTGCCCTGCTCACAAGGGGATGTGGGCACTGGCAGGAGCTGGCTGGGAGTCCTGCCCAGTCCTGGGGTAAACTGGGTGGAAGGAATCCTGCTCCCCTCCTTTGGGGTTTACACAGCGACTGAAGAGCCCAGCCCTGCCCCATTCTCCCTCAATGACTCTGAACACTCCAGAGTGCTGCATTCCCACTTGTGCCCCTTTCCTACAAAACTTCAGGAGAGGATTGGAATGACAGTGAGATGTTTTCACAGCTGTGGTGTCAGCTCTTGGGCCTCCCCAGAGCAGGATAAAGCACGGAATATGGACAAATCCAAGAAATCCACATTCCTTCTGCTTCCCAGGCATGGCCAGGAGATGGTATGTCCATAACCTCCCTGCCTGACCCTATTTCTCTCAGTGTTTCTTAAATACACAAAGAGCATTTTATCAGCAAGGAATATATTTGATTGAGAAAACTTCTGATCATCCCAGGCAGGAAATGCCATGCCTTGACAGAAAGGCTACTTCTAATCCATCTCTTCTTAAAGCAATGTATACACATTAATGTGGATGGCAGTCAATAAAGCAGATCCTGGTACTCCTGGCTGCACACCCCTCTTTACTTGAAAACGTTTTCCTTGGATTATCGTATTCATCATTGTTATTTGAGAACTGTATCACAGTATTATTTTTAAAAAGTGAAGCTTGTCTTGGCTTAGAAAACTCTGGCATGTGGAAAAGAGATGAAATGTTCTTGGGATTGAAGGCAGTTGTTCCTGAGTCTGGCTGGCGGATCCAGCACACTCCCTCCTCTGGTGGGTTGGAGGCATTTATGTGAGACTTCCCCAGAGTGGTCCAGCAAAAATCCTGAGGATGAGCTCGATGTCCTTCCTGGAGAGAGGAGGGTGCTGCTCTGTGATGATGCTACTGATCCCAGTTTTTCCCAGCGGGGTCACAGAAAGGAGCTCCTCCTTGGTCGGCTGGGTGAAGACTGCTGAGGAATCCCAAAGGCTGTGCCAGGGGCTGTGCTTCCAAGGCTCCCAAATTAATTGTTTGTGAAGGATGCTCCTGTGCAGGGCAGGATGATGAAGCAGGGTGGGTTTTTGGCTGCTCCCACTGAAGTTCATGCGTGCCCTCTGTCCCAAATCCCATTTATGATGCTGAAGACATCCTTGAGGGGGGCCTGGCGTGACACATCTCATCCCCCCAGGGCTCAGAACCGAGCTTTGCAGCGTGAGGAGGGGGCTGGGGCAGAGTCTGGGGGTCACTGCCTGGCCCCATCGCTGCTCCCCCCATGGTGGTGGGGGACGGGGCACCCAGGGCTTGGGACACCCCAGAGCCCATGTCTGCTCCTGCCTCCCTCCCTCCAGGGTTGGACAAGACCCCTGGGGAGTCCTGCCCCTGTGGGGACTTATAAACCCCGAAGAGGTTCCTGCCCCCAGGAGAATACTAAGCCCATTCCAGGAGGATTCCTGTACCTCCCCCAGGGAGGAGCCTTGCCCACAAGAGAGTTTCCTACTGCCATAGGGGCATTTCTGCCCCACCTCAGAGTCTTCTGTCCTCCTGGGGGAATTCCTGCCCCCCAAGAGGGTTTCCGCCCTCAAGAAGAGTTTCCCTGGGGGAATTCCTGTCGCTCCTGAAAGTCTTTTAAGGCCCAGAGGGGGGTCCCTCCCCTCTCCAGGGGGATCCTGTACCTAGGGAGGTTCCTGTCTCCGGGAGGACCCCCGGCCCCCGGTTCCGCCCTGACCCCCGACCCCCTCCCCTGGGGGCGTGGCCGCTCAGGGGCCTGCTCGGGGGCGTGTCCAGGCGGGGACGGTGACGCAGTGGGCGGGGCAGGGCGGGGCGGCAGCGGCGGCAGCGGCGGCTTCCAGCGACTTCGGCGGGCGGTGAGTGCGGGCGGGGCCGCGCTGCCCACGGGGGATGCTCAGCCCCGCGCGGGGCCGCCCGGGGGGAGCTCTGCCCCCGTGATCCCCGTGGGGCCGCCCGGGGGGTGCTCAGCCCCCCGGTGGGACCGGACCCGGAGGGCTCTGCCCGTATTGCCTCCCCCGGGGATGCTCTGCTGCCCCCCGAGAGGATGCTCGGCCCCCTCCGTGGGTATGCTCAGCCCCCGGCGGGGCTGGACTCGGCGGGCTCTGCCCTTTTTGCCACCCCCCGGGGATGCTCTGCCCTCGTCCCCCCCACCCCCCTACTGGGGATGCTCCCCATTGCCCCCCGGGCGGGGCCGCAGTAGGGATGCTGAGCCCTGCCGTGCCCCGGG